TTCTAGACTAGAGGCAATCTGTTTATTGAAAATAATTAAAAAGCAGTAAAAGTAAAAAAAACAAAACAAAACAACACTATAAAGGTATAGGTAAATCCAATTAGGTAGGAAGATAAGCCAGAACAAAATAGTCAAAAGAATTAGTCCATCAAAGTTGATGAAAAACAAAGGCAGAAACTGGGTTGTTGTAGGATCAGTTAATATAATATAGGACATCAGATTGAATGACAAGGATGCTTGCCATAGATGCAGGCGAAACGTCAGGAGAGAATGCTTTTAGAACATGGCCAGACAGCCAAAAAAAAAAAAAAAAAAACTACAACAACCCAGTGATTCCAGCTGGGAAAGCTTTCGACAATACAATATTTTCTGTTCGTCATGTGGGAAGTTTGATTGGTGGAGTTCAAGGAGCTCTTTGATTGTAGGCGAACTATAAATCCCAGCAACTCCAACTGCCAAACGACAAAATCAACCCCCCCCCCCCAACCCCACCAATATTCAAATTTTGGCGTATTGGGTATTTGTGCCAAATTTGCTCCTATGAATGAAAATACATCCTGCATATCAGATGTTTACATAACGATTCATAACAAAATTCCAGTTATGAAGTAGCAACAAAAATAATTTTATGGTCGGGAGTCACCACAACATGAGGAACTGTATTCAGGGGTCGCAGCATTAGGAAGGTTGGGAAAGACTACGTCACCCCTACGTCCCACCTCGTAATCTACGATCATCCGAGGAGGCCCTGCTCTTGCTTCCGTCAACAGCACAGATGCGTCTGGTGGGGACGAGAGACAGGGCCTTCTCGACTGTGGCCCCCTGCCTATGGAACACACTCCCAAATGAGGTAAGATCCGCTCCCTCCCTCCTGGCTTTTAGAAAAAAATTAAAATCATGGTTTTGGGACCAGGCCTTCAGGCAGTAGAAGTAAATGTATGCAGCATTCCAGAAAGACAATTACTGGAACAGCGATTTGACGGGTGAGACTGTTTTATTGTTTTCATGATTGTTTTATTGCTTGTGGATGTACTTTTAAACTTGATTTATGTCTAATTGTAATGTATAATTGTAATTGTTTTTACTGGTATTGTTCTGGTATGGCTGTACCAGGAGTTCCAACTTCCTTTTCTTTCTTTGAGTGTTTGCATGTATTCCAAAGTTCCATCCATTTTGCAATAAGGTGGCTTCCCTTGGTTTGCAATTATAGGGCCAATGACACATCAATCATTGTTAAGTTTGGTTCTGCCCCTTTCCCCAGGGCTCTGGGAGGAGAGGGAGCCATTTTAGGTCAGTCTTGCATTGGAAAGCTACAGGACGTGGATTAGCTCCACCTGTAGAGAAACTTCGTTTCTCACAGCATCCGGGGGGAAACAGTTCCAAAGGACTCCAGCTGGAGAATCTACAAAGCCTTAACTGGTAGGTCTACTCTGGACCCAAGAAGCAGTTTGGAGCTGGGAGTAGAGCCCACACCAGCAAAGTTTAGAAAGTAGATTGCCCATGGAGGGGTTACAAAGGGTTTTCCTCTTAAAGAAAAGAAACAGTTCACGAAGCCAGTTGCCTGTCCCTTGTGGACAAGATTAAGAAAGCCACCACTTGATTCAAAGCCTTGAAGTATTTGTTTGACTTGTTGAAGATCTGAGAAGTATTTGATTGTTTTGTTGAAGACCTTGTTAAACTTTTCAAGCTTCTAAAGACTTTGTACAGGAAAATCCTTAGGGCCTCTCAGCTGAGCCACCCCAGCTTCCCGCTGGGCACAAAGAGCACGTCCTGTCAAAAACCATTTGCTATAGGCCCTGCGTGTGACAGCATAGGCATTGAATTTTGCCATTACTTATGTGTAAACCGCTTTAAGTCCCCCTCGGGGTGAGAAAAGTGGTGTACACATACTGTAAATAAATAATAATAATAAATAAGACTGACTTAAAGCTTGTGAGAGCTTCTGTTCAACCATTTCAAAGCTCCTTGCTTGGGTGGTGATGGCATGATTGTCAGCATAGATGAAATGAATTGGCCAATATTATTAATTTTATGTATTCATTTATTTATTTAACTTGTATACCGCTACTCTCAATTTGGCTTGGAGTGGTTTACAGAAGCAGATTAAAACAATACAATTAGCTTTAAAAATAACAATAACAAAACAATAGGCGGCAAGAACAGGCATAGTCCCCATTGTTCACCCATCAAAAGCTTGCTGGAAAAGAAAAGTTTTGCAGGCTTTCCGAAAAGCAAGTAGGTCTCGGATGGTTCAAGTTTCAACCGGCAAGGCATTTCATAAATAAGGGGCCACGATCGAGAAAGCTCTATGCCTAGTAGATGACAAATGGTAAGTCTGGATGTTGGGGACTAAAAGCAAATTTTGGTCTTCAGACTGGAGTAATTTCTGGGGTTGGTAGGGGGTTAAGCGGGCCCTCAGGTACGCCGGCCCCAGACCATGTAAGGCCTTAAAGGTTAGTACCAGCACCTTGAAAGTGATCCGGTACTCAATCGGAAGCCAGTGCAGCTGTTGTAGAACTGGGGTGATACGACACCTCGCTGGCACCCTGGCAAGAAGACGAGCCGCCGCATTTTGCACCAGCTTCAGTTTCTGGATCACTGACAAAGGAAGGCCAATGTAGAGGGCGTTACAGTAGTCAAGCCTCGAGATGACCGTCGCCTGGATCACCGTAGCCAGGTCGTTCCTAGATAGGAAGGGAGCCAGTCGCCTAGCCTGACGTAGGTGGAAAAACGCGGATCTGCTCACAGCAGAGACCTGGGCCTCCATTGTGAGCAGCAGAGGGTCCAATAAGACACCAAGACTCTTTACAGAAGGTGACGGACGTAGTGTCTCGCCATCCAGGGTAGGCAGCTGGACCTCCCCCCACCCGGACGGCCCAGCCAAAGGATTTCTGTCTTTGCTGGATTCACCTTCAACCTGCTGGCACGCAACCATCCAGTCACAGCCTCAAGGCACTGATGGAAATTTTCGGGTACGGAGTCCGGCCCTCCATCCTCAGAATGAGCTGAGTGTCGTCAGCATACTGGTGGCACTCAAGCCCAAAGCTCCGCACCAGTTGGGCAAGTGGTCGCATATAGATGTTAAATAACATAGGAGAGAGAATAGCTCCCTGTGGGACCCCGCATACTAGCGGAGACCTCTCGGAAACCATCCCTCCCCTCACCACACGCTGTCCCCGATTCTGGAGGAAGCCATGACTAGGGTTAGGGGGATACCCCTTAAGTGAGTACTAGGCGGTGGGTTAGTAGATTGTGATCAACCGTATCAAAAGCTGCTGTGAGGTCCAATAACACGAGCAGCGCTGATCCGCCTTGATCCATCTGGCAGCGAAGCTGATCTGTGATGGCAACTAGCACAGTCTCCGTCCTGTGCCCACTACGGAAGCCGGACTGGAAGGGATCAACTCTGGCCGTGTCATTTAGGAACTGCTGCAACTGTTCCACTGCTGCCCTCTCCACCACCTTGGCCAGAAACAGAAGGTTCGAGACTGGGCGGTAGCTAGAGGGAACCGAACGGTCTAAGTCTGGTTTCGCCAGCAGCGGAGATACCATCGCCTCTTTTAAACCCTCTGGAAAAACTGCTTGCTCAAGGGAGCTATTTATTATATTCAACAGAGGTTCACGTAATCCCTCCAGGCAAGATTTTACCAGCCAGGAGGGGCACGGATCGAGGGCACAGGTGGTCGGCCTAGCTGCAGTCAGGATCCTATCGACGGCCTCTGCATCCAGCGGGGTAAACGGTTGAGGATGTGCCCAGCGAGTGGCCACGGAGTCTCAAGTTCACTTACTGTATCAATCGTGGCAGGGAGATGCCGGGGGAGAATATGCTATATCCGTGATGGGTTTGTTTTTTTTTTTTTTTGTTTTTTTTTGTTTTGTCAGGAGCGACTTGAGAAACTGCAAGTTGCTTCTGGTGTGAGAGAATTCGCCGTCTGCAAGGACGTTGCCCAGGGGACGCCCGGATGATTTGATGTTTTTTTAATCATCCTTGTGGGAGGCTTCTCTCATGTCCCCGCATGAGGAGCTGGAGCTGATAGAGGGAGCTCATCCGCCTCTCCCCGGATTCGAACCTGTGACCTATCGGTCTTCAGTCCTGCCGGCACAGAGGTTTAACCCACTGCACCACCGGGGGCTCCGTGATGGTGAACCTATGACAAGCATGTCAGCACTGACACACATGGCTATTTTCGATGACACGCAGCCACATGCGGCCGCATACAGAGAAGTGCACCTTATAAGAGCCAATCTAATTCCATCCTTAAATTTGTAAAAGGCTCTACAAATTTAACATCTGCATGTTTGAGCATGGTTCACTCCATAACTCAGCATGGAATATACATTTTTCGTATTTAAACTATAAGTATATTTTATTTATATATTTATTTTTTGTCAAAGTGACACCCCACCCAAGTTATGCTCAGGTTTTTGGCAAATGTTGACACACCAAGCTCAAAAGGTTGCCCATCACTGTGCTATGTAATATTGGCCGATTCAACTCCTTTTCGTTGCAGGTGTTTTTTCCAGCTTCGGCTGCTTAGTGTCAACTGAGAAGAAAAAAATACATCCCCCACCCCACCTTCATTACAGTATGGCCTTCAGGCTGCAGGTGGAGATCCAAAGCAAGGAAGGAAATATACTCCAAGGATTTGCTTCTTTTCTGGGGCTGGGCGTCTTTAAGTTGAAGGAAACAAGCAATGAAAGTGGCAGTGAAAATAATGGGGTGGAAGGTGCATCTACACTATAGAATTAACGCAGTTTGATACCACGTTCTCCTGGGGGTTTCCCAAAAGTGCAAGCTGCAACTCCCAAAATGCCACCGCACGGAGTCATGGGAGTGAAAGTGATGCCAGTCTGCATGCATCCTCAGCCAGTGGCCTCCTTTGCTCTTCTCTGCTCAAGCTAAGGGCAACGGTGCCCTTACTAAAGATGGCGCCTGAGGCTTCTCTCTCACGTCGGCAAACGCAACAGCGCACAAAACCCCGTCCAACCCGGGTCTCGCGATGTTTGGGTTGGAAGTCGGGGTAGGAAAGAGAGAGAGGGAGAGAGGCCCGTGGCGGGCGAGAAGCGGGAGGGTTTCGCCATGGAGCACATCACGACGCCCAAGGTGAGTGCCTGTGGCCTCTGAGCATGGGCAGAGTGTCTTCCAATGGATGAGAGAAGTGGCATAGCCTCTGAGCATGTGCAGAGTGCATTCCACATGGATAGGGGAAATGGTGTGGCCTCTGAGCATGTGCAGAGTGCATTCCCGATGGGTGGGAGAAATAGTGTGGCCTCTGAGCATGGGCAGAGTGTCTTCCCAATGGATGAGAGAAGTGGCATAGCCTCTGAGCATGTGCAGAGTGCATTCCCCATGGATAGGGGGAGTCGCGTGGCCTCTGAGCATGTGCAGCGTGTCTTCCCAATGGATGGAAGAAACAATGTGACCTCTGAGCATGTGCAGAGTGCATTCCCCATAGATACGGGGAGTCGCGTGGCCCCTGAGCATGTGCAGCGTGTCTTCCCAATGGATTTGAGTACAATGTTCCTTCTTCTTGGCAGAATGGGGTTGGACTGGATGGCCCAGGAGGTCTCTACCAAGACTTTGATTCTAGGATTCTTTGATAGGAGAAATAGTGTGGCCTCTGAGCATGTGCAGAGTGCATTCCCAATGGACAGGGGAAGTGGTGTGCCCTCCGAGCATGTACAGAGTATATTCCCAATGGATGGGAGAAGTGGCGTGGCCTCTGWGCATGTGCAGAGTGCATTCCCAATGGATAGAAGTAGTGTGGCCTCTGAGCATGTGCAGAGTGTCTTCCCAATGGATGAGAGAAGTGGCATAGCCTCTGAGCATGTGCAGAGTGCATTCCACATGGATAGGGGAAATGGTGTGGCCTCTGAGCATGTGCAGAGTGCATTCCCGATGGGTGGGAGAAATAGTGTGGCCTCTGAGCATGGGCAGAGTGTCTTCCCAATGGATGAGAGAAGTGGCATAGCCTCTGAGCATGTGCAGAGTGCATTCCCCATGGATAGGGGGAGTCGCGTGGCCTCTGAGCATGTGCAGCGTGTCTTCCCAATGGATGGGAGAAACAATGTGACCTCTGAGCATGTGCAGAGTGCATTCCCCATGGATAGGGGGAGTCGCGTGGCCCCTGAGCATGTGCAGAGTGTCTTCCCAATGGATTTGAGTGCAATGTTCCTGTTTCTTGGCAGAATGGGGTTGGACTGGATGGCCCAGGAGGTCTCATCCAAGACTTTGATTCTATGATTCTTTGATAGGAGAAATAGTGTTGCCTCTGAATATGTGTAGAGTGTATTCCCAATGGACAGGGGAAGTGGTGTGCCCTCCGAGCATGTACAGAGTATATTCCCAATGGATGGGAGAAGTGGCGTGGCCTCTGAGCATGTGCAGAGTGCATTCCCAATGGATAGGGGAAATAGTGTGGTCTCTCAGCATGTGCAGAGTATATTCCCAATGGATGGGAGAAGTGGCGTGGCCTCTGAGCATGTGTAGAGTGCATTCCCAATGGATAGGGGAAGTGGTGTGGTCTCTGAGCATGTGCAGAGTACATTACCTATGGATAGAAGAGGTGTAGCTTCTGACCATGAGCAGAGTGCACTTCCCAATGGATAGGAGAAGTAGTGTGGCCTCTGAGCATGTACTTAGTGCATTCCCAATGGATACGGGAAGTAGTGTCACTTCTGAGCATGTGCAAAGTTTATTCCTAATGGATGGGAGAAGCAGTGTGGCCTCTGAGCATGTGCAAAGTGTATTCCCAGTGGATGGGGAAGTGGCGTAGCCTGTGAGCATGTGCAGAGTGTCTTCTTAATGCATAGAAGTAGTGTAGCCTCTGAGCATGTGCAGAGTGCATTCCCTATGGATATGAGAAGTGATGTAGCCTCTAAGCATTGGCAGAGTGCATTCCTATGGTAAACTTCCCCCTGAGAAGTCCTTATGTCCTATCTGAGCATGTGCAGAGTGCATTCCCAACAGTAGCTATGAGCATGTCTAGTGTTCCCAATGGTATTGTCCTAGAATGGTTAGAATATAATATCTGAGCATGGATAGAGTGTATTCCCAGGGGTGGCGTCCCCAAGTAATCATAATTTAGTATGCGAGCACATACAGAGTAAGTTCCCTGAGTAGCCATGGGCCACACCCTGATAATGTGCAGAATGTTTTCCCAATACTATTTTCCTGGATAGTACTGGGGGTGTGGCATTTGAACATGTGCAGAGAGTCCTCCCAACGGCAGTTTCTCTGAGTCGTGATAATGTGGTATCTGAGCATATATAGAGTATATGTCCAATGGTAGTGTCCCTGAATAGTCATAATGTAGTATCTGAGCATATGCAGAGTGTATTCCCAATAGTATTATCTCTGAATGGTATCTGAGCATGTGCAAAGTGTCCTCCCCATAATCCTGTCTCTGAGTATTCATGATGTGATCTTTGAGCATGCATTGAGTGTATTCCCGAGGATATTACCTCTGGGTTGTAGAAATGGTCTGGTCTCTGAGCATGTGCAGAATGCACTCCCAATAGTAGTATCCTGGATAGTACTGGGGCTGTGGCATCTTAGCATGTGCAGAGTGTCTTCCTTATAGTTCTGTCCTTCAATAGTAGATGCCATGTGGCATCTGGAGCATGTGCAGAGTGCATTTCCCCCGAGTAGACATCATGTGCCAAAGGAAGTCTTCAGGAAACCTGGAATTGTAGCTGTGTTTACATAATATTTTCTGGATGTTCCATACTATCCTTTCATTCCTAAGCCAATGACACCCTTGAATTATTTTTGTTTGTCTACTTCGTTTTACTGCTGTTCTGTAAATATTATACCACTGAAGGGCAGTCGTTAACTTGTCACTTTATTGTGGTTTGTATTTTCAGGAAGTGATTCGATCAAAGAGAGGCCAACACAGCTTGGGGTGTATCTACTAGGACTGTGCTTTTGGGGTAAAACTTGACCTGTTTCGTGACCTGGCTTTCAGTGCGGGGCCCCATCCGTTTTTTTAGAAGCCTCCCAAAATTGGGAGGGCAGGTATCTTTTTTTGTTCTGGGGTGCCGAAAGATCAGTTTTCTATCAGCCTATTATTGGGAGGGGGTGGCTTCCCAGGCTCCCCTTCCTGTCATTGAAGCTATTTTACTCTAGAGGAGAGGCACTCAGCTGCAGGCAGGCACGTGCTTTAAGGAGGCTTCTTACCTATTTCTACTCTAGAGGAGAGGCACTCGGCTGCAGGCAGGCACACTCTTTAAGGAGGCTTCTTACCTGTTTCTACTTTAGAGGAGAGGCATTTGTCTCCAGGCAGGTACACGCTTTAAGGAGGCTTCTTACCTGTTTCTACTCTAGAGGAGAGGCACTCGGCTGCAGGCAGGCACACTCTTTAAGGAGGCTTCTTACCTGTTTCTACTTTAGAGGAGAGGCATTTGTCTGCAGGCAGGTACACGCCTTAAGGAGGCTTCTTGCCTGTTTCTACTCTAGAGGAGAGGCACTCGGCTGCAGGCGGGCATGTGCTTTAAGGAGGCTTCTTACCTGTTTCTACTTTAGAGGAGAGGCATTCGTCTCCAGGCAGATACACACCTTAAGGAGGCTTCTTACCTGTTTCTACTTTAGGGGAGAGGCATTCGTCTGCAGGCAGGCTCACACATGTGCTTTAATGAGGCTTCTTACCTGTTTCTACTCTAGAAGAGAGGCGCTCAGCTGCAGGCTGGCACGCTCTTTAAGGAGGCTTCTTATCTGTTTCTACTATAGAGGAGAGGTGCTCGGCTGCAGGCAGGCGCACACTTCTTACCTGTTTCTACTCTAGAGGAGAGAAACTCAGCTGCGCGCAGGTACATGCTTTAAGGAGGCTTCTTAGAATGATAGAGTTGGAAGAGACCTCATGGGCCATCCAGTCCAACCCCATTCTGCTAAGAACCAGGAAAATTGCATTCAAAGCATCCCCAACAGATGGCCATCCAGCCTCTGTTTAAAAGCTTCCAAAGAAGGAGCCTCTACCACACTCCGGGGCAGAGAGTTCCACTGCTGAACGGCTCTCACAGTCAGGAAGTTCTTCATAATGTTCAGATGGAATCTCCTTTCTTATAGTTTGTAGCCATTGTTCCACGTCCTAGTCTGCAGGGCAGCAGAAAACAAGCTTGCTCCCTCCTCCCTGTGGCTTCCTCTCACATATTTATACGTGATTATCATATCTCCTCTCGGCCTTCTCTTCTTCAGGCTAAACATGCCCAGCTCTTTAAGCCGCTCCTCATAGGGCTTGTTCTCCAGACTCTTGATCATTTGAGTCGCCCTCCTCTGGACACATTCCAGCTTGTCAATATCTCTCTTGAATTGTGGTGCCCAGAATTGGACACAATATTCCAGGTGTGGTCTAACCAAGGCAGAATAGAGCATGGGTAGCGTGACTTCCCTGGATCTTACCTGTTTCTACTCTAGAGGAGAGGTGTTCAGCTGCAGGCAGGCGTGCGCTTTAAGGAGGGGTGGCGCAGTGGATTAAAGCGCTAAGCTGCTGAGCTTGTTGACCGAAAGGTCGCAGGTTCGAATGCGGGGAGTGGCGTGAGCTTCCGCTTTCAGCCCCAGCTTCTGCCAACCTAGCAGTTTGAAAACATGCAAATGTGAGTAGATCAATAGGTATTGCTCCGGTGGGAAGGTAACGGCGCTCCATGCAGTCATGTCGGGTACATGACCTTGGAGGTGTCTACGGACAATGCCGGCTCTTTGGCTTAGAAATGGAGATGAGTACCACACCCCAGAGTCAGATGTGACTGGACTTAATGTCAGGGGAAAACCTTTACCTTACCGGTTTCTACTCTAGAGGAGAGGCACTCAGCAGCAGGCAGGCGCACGCTTTAAGGAGGCTTTTTACCTGTTTCTACTGTAGAGGAGAGGTGTTCATCTGCAGGCAGGCACACGCTTTAAGGAGGCTTTTTACCTGTTTCTACTCTAGAGGGGAGGCATCCAGTTGCAGGCAGGTGCACATGCTTTCTGGGCCTGTACGCCACACATGCACACACTCTCTTTCCAAGACAAGGATGCAAGTTTACTCCAGAGGAGGTGCTCGGCTGTAGGCAGGTGCACACTTTCTGGGTCTGTACGCTACACACACACTCTTTCCAAACCAAGGAGGC